CTACAATAAAGGTAGTGATGACAAATTTCTCGTCTGGGACATCCACTTTCAAGGATCTGAGTTGAAATTTTGAACATACTCTACAGACTTTCATTGGGTCCTTGTTTCACAATCAAAAAATGATAACTCAATTTTCAATAAGTCCGAGCTCGTATGAAGTGTGATACAAAGGAGACGGATAGCTCCCTGAAGGATGAGATGAATGCTAGGGGCAACCTATTGAACTGTGCCAGGGCTGAGCCTTTCAAAGTGATGGCAAGGGCCCGACATCGTACTGGGTCTTAGTATTCATGTAGCTCCATTTGATTCTTGTAGGTGTTGAGGTGGTCCATAGAATCTTTTGTTCCATCGAAAACCTCCATCTGGGGCATTTTTGAACTTAGGTTGGAATGGAAAGTGCAACATCTGTGTGGTAAATGGGGACTTAGTCTGTTGAATTAAGGCTTCCATAGTCACTGGAGTTTTGCTTTTAACTACCTCCTTCATGTGGTAAATGAGGACTCCTCTTGTTGAATGTTTTTGAAGCATTGTTCCCAATATTGTTCCTTTCTTTCCTGTTAGAACAGAGAAAATTTATTGTTACAAGTTTCCTTGCTTTGACTTTGTACTTCCTCATCATCTTCATTTCTACGAATTCGGTGATGAGCATTACGCACAGTTTGGTTATGCTCATCTCCCTATGTAATGTCCTTCAGGGGGTGGTTGTGTTGTCGTTCTCTCTAAGGGGGATTGTCTTGGGCTGGTTGAGCTCTTTGTAGATGCTGAAGGATATTTAGTAGCTCCTCATTCTATTGGAGGAGACATTGATTAGCTAGGCGAAGGGTTTCCAATTCATTGTTAGGTGTGGGATTCACTATGGAGAGATCGCCTTCAGGTGTAGGCAAGAAATTATGAGGATTTTCTTGTTGTCTCCTGGTTGTAGCTTCTTGTTGGTTCGGTAGTTGAGGAAGATTCGCTGGTACTCTCCTCATGTTGCGTGTAAAAACCATCAATTACTGAAGAAAATCAATATATCTTTTATCGGGAAACAATTGTTCCCATAGACAGCGCCAACTGATGATGTTCTTCACACAATTGAGCAATGTTGTGGATCTAAAGTGCACTGAATACTGGAATTTGGTTCAATCTGAGCTCCAAGACTCTTAGGAATAGGATTTTTTTGAATAATTTAGGGGGGGTACCACAGAGTGTTTATAGTGGTTCACCAATTCAAGAGCTCGGCTAATCCACTCTCAAGGGAGTCTCTTGCTCCTGAATATATAGTAATCAATTGCGTGTGTTTTACAGAGAGTACATTGCAAGGCTACAATGACTATATTCTTTCTTGATGGCTTTGCCTCTTATTTATAGATATTCTTAGGGTTTGCTTGATCTAGGGCAAGATACTCTCCCCTTAGCTGTAATAGTTCCCCATTATTGCGCAAAGAGACTTGCGCTAGTTAGGTGATTGACTCCAGAAAAATGGGGGACTTGGTGGAATCCAGCTGTCCTTTGAATAAACTTTTGTGAGGTATGGATACAGGAAATTGAGGTATGAAGTTGAGGTCCACAAGTAATATTGACGAGTTGAACTCCTGATCTAGATGATGAAGCTCATCCTAGATTTTGGTGGTACCATTAAGATATAACAAAAGTTTGGGCCAATCGATAAAACAAAATGCCTCAAGTCAAGTTAAAAGGATCCAACTGAGTAACCCTGTGTTTGGTATGATGAAAAGAAGGGTGGATGAAAAATAGAGGAGAGAAAACGGAGGGGAATGAAATGTTTTCACTCGTTTGGTATGGAAGGAAAATATAGTGGAATAGAAAATGGGAAGGAAGCTTAATCCACTCTCCCTGCCATTTGTTTTCCTTCCGGTTTTGGATGAAAAGTGAAAGGACAAGAAAGGAATCTTGATTAAAGTTTAAGCTAAAGTACTATTATGCCCTCTTATCCATTCTTATTGTGCATAGTATTTTATGCCTATTTTACTTTTGATGACGTCAACCACTTGAAGCTCACCATTCTTTTTTAATGTTATGATTATTAAATTTAAATATTATTTTTAGTTTTGCTATCTTCATTTTTTTATCCAAGAAAATGTACCAATGTGTAAATTCTTTTTATATTTTTATTTTTAATTAATGCCATTTTGTCATTTTTTAATTAATAGTTACAAATCATTCAAAGCAAAATTAATTCCTTCAAAATTAATTCGTAACAAAAATAAGGGAATTAAAAGCTTTTTCAAATTAATTGGATTGAATTGTAATAAAAAAAACTCACTTAATATATTTAAGGGTAGAATTGTAAATTGGACATATATGTTTTTCCGTTCCTTTCATTTTTCATCTAATACCAAACGAGAGAAAATATATTCTTACTATTTTCCATCTCTCCTGCCAAGCAAAAAAATAATAATAATAATAATTTACTTTCTTTCATAAATGAAAAGCTTATTCATTTCACTTTTCCTTCATTCCGTTTTTTCATTCTTCGTACCAAATAGACCATAAGTATTAGTATCATTCGACCTAAATTGAACATAAAGCAATTTGATAAGCGAAACTCTCGAGCAATATGCGTGCACCTACCAGAGGCGTGGGGGATGTAATCAAAGTGATTTTAGAAGAGTTACCACCCAAGTTCCACAATTTAGAGGATAATAACTAGGTCTATCCGAGTAAAAAATAGCTAGACTATCGCTAATGACCAAAAATAGTTATAGACAATTGATAAAAAAAACTTCTTATTTAAAGGGACACATTATTAACATGTGACTAAAAAAATTAGAAAGATTCATGTCACACCCCCACCCCGGATCACATAGGGTGAGCAGCGGACCGGCCACCAAGGCCTTGACCAACTAACCTTGTGCATAATAAATGCAAAATATAGCGGAAGACAAATAATAAAGTGATTCATTTCACCGATCTAATGAATACTAGAGAAATAAACTAAACATCACCAACATCATTATTAAACTCATGTAAAACAATAACTAAACTATAAGGTTCACTACTCTAAAGTCTAAGCATGAGCAACATTAATCCCAAAAAAATAATTAAATATTTGTCTCAAAACTATATAAGACATTTATTCTTGAAGACCTACAATGAAATAAATCTTCAATTCTTATAATCTTTATTTATCCAGGGACTTACTCCTCCTCTTGATCCTCACCTGAAAAATGTTAAATGTTTGGATGAGCATAAAGACCCGTGAATAGCAACCACCTCTAATGAGGTGTGAAAATAAATCTCACATTTTATATTCAAAAATAAACTTTGTTACCTACATAAGTACAACAAATTGTACTTCAATCCCTTTCACACAATCATGTAAACAAAATGATCTCATGATCATAAAATAACTTTATAAAAGAAAATATAGTTATAACCCAAACATCCACTCATTTTCACAAGTAACTTATAAACATTTATAACTCAAAAAACTAACACTCACACACACACACACACATTTAGTTTCAAATACATTTGTCAAATCATGTTTGTTACCACTACTCTGGTAACTGCTCTTGTCTCTTGTCATCACTAGCCTGATGACTGGTCTCATCTCTTGTTATCACTAGCCTAATAACTGGTCCCTATGTGCATATTCCTATACCGACCACGCCGATATACAATCTCGTTATCATTTAGAACTGATAACCCAGTCCCCTTCTCATAAAATATGATTTCAACACACACACTAAAACTGTTGTTTTAGTCCCAACACACAAAATTTTTCTTTCATCATCAAAACACATTTGAGCAATGATATAGAATTATCTCATAAGTTTTTTCCAAACTTCACAAGTATAACAATTCACAACTGCAAAATATTTAATTGCAACCCCAAACATCAACATATATATATATATATATATATATATATATATATATATATATATATATATATATATATATAAATTCACATACACGCACCCACAGTTTAATATATAAAATTTTCCCAATAGAAGTAGTAAACTACTCACCTTCATTCTCAAAATCCAATTCAAAGCATTCTTTCTCAGCCTCAATGCAATCACCACCTAATCCAAAATAACATACAACAATTAATCCCTATTCCTAATTTCGTCATTTCGCGATTCTATATTTAATTTTTACTCCTCCCACCCATTGATATGTATTTAATATATCTTGTATATATAAATATTCTTTATAATATGAGGTAATAGGGTATGGAAGCATTCTGGGCTGTTTAGAAAAAAGTTTCTAAAGTTTTAGGATCAAATCATAATTTCCTTGAAAAAGGAATTTTTTGTTTTCGAGCTTGCCATAAATTTTCCAGAATTCTGTTCTTGCAACTTACCAAGTAAAAAGGTACTTAAAATTAAATTTAGAAGAATAAAGAGGTCAAAATAAAACTCCTTGAAACTAAAGGGGAACTTTCTATATTTTTTTGGATTTGGCCTTCTTCTTCCAGCGGCCGAAGCTGAACCAGTATACTTTCTTCCCTGTTTTTTTTTATTCTTCCCAACACATTAATTGAACTCAATCAATTCCAAACAACTATAAACTTGAAGATCAACCTAATAACTTCAATAATCAATAAGATACCATGAGACCTATATATATATATACACTAACATTATAAACCCTACACCCATTAATTGAATAAGAATATAAAACTCATAAGAAAAATCATCAATCTACACCTTGGATGGATTGAAATCCCTTTCCTTCTTTTTCCTCCTTCTCTCTCTCTCTCTCTCTATATATATATATATATATAACTCTTCCTACCTTTCTTTCTTTCTCCTTATTTTTTTTTTTCTTGCCCTATTTTGACTACCTACATATATACGTATAGAAAATAAAAGAAACCCTAGAAGTCCTCAAATTCATTAAATACATTAACATCCTTTTTTTAAAAAAATATTACAAATTAACCTAAAAACTAATATTATATATATTTTAAATTTGGATATTACAATTCAAACACAAAATTTGAGAAGATTTGACTGAAATATAACCATCCTATTCCAACCAAAATTCTAAATCTTAAAGAGACGAGTTATACTTTTATAAATACAAATAACCTTAAGTCTAAAATAAAAATTATTTTTTTGCTCATTACTTGCTTGTTTTAATATAGAACCATTATTGACTTAAACATCGTAATGTCTTCGACCGATCAAAGATCAAAGACCAATCTGTGAGTTTGTTGGCCTTGTAAGAGGAGGTGCACCCAATTATTTTGTGACATCGTTCAATTCTCAGATCAATCACCACTAATTTCATCATTATTGGAGTACAAAATTTTAAGAGAAAACTGAACACTAAAATAAATAGAAACTAATAACAAAACAATAAATCAGTTGGTGCCCTGATCATATTGTAGTTTCCACCATGGATGTCAAAACCATGGGATTGCTATACTGGCTAGCTCAGACAATCATTCAACATTGATGTCCAAAACTTTGGAAGTGTTGGTAGCTTTTGGTATGCTTATATACAGCACTCCATCTTTAACCTCAGCCTTAATTTTCTCGAACTGAATATTCTCAGGCAAAGCAATTCTGCAGCTGTACCTGCCATAGCTCTTAGCAGACCACTCCTCCTCATCCTCTCCCTCATTCTGACTGTTCTTCTTGGGAACTTTTTCTCCTTTCACCACCAACATTTTGTCTTCAATGTATACCTTCACATCCTCTTTGGTCATACCAGGCATGTCAAACCTCATTTTGTACTCTCCCTCACTTTCCTTTATCTCCCATGGTGTCCTTCCCCTGCTGTACCCACCACTCTCGCTTGATGGCTGCGACGGCCAGCCGCCACTGTACGCTACAGGGTCCTCCATTATCCTCTCCATTGTATCCATCATTTGCTGCACTGTCCTTGCAGTGGGAAACCTATCCCACAATCCTGCACACACACACACACACACACACAAAAATTATGGAAGTACTATTGGGTAATCTTTGTCAAACTTTTGCCAATTGGGTATTAAAATGAGAGGAAAAACTAGGCTAATTTAGGCATTACAGCAAAATTATTACAAAATAAGGCTAAAATTAGACATCTAGTCATGTAACATCACAGCCAAAAACCAGATTAGAACTCGATCTTATAAAATTATGACAAATTCTGATGGATTATAATCTTAAAATATTAGAATCCACTTTAATATTTTAAATTTGGGTTAATTATAAAATGTACCCTTCAAATTTGGATCAATTTGCAATCAACACCCTTTAGTTTGAATTTCAATAAATTACAAACTTAAAATTTGTACAACTCAAATTGTTATTTTAGACAATCAAAAATAATAGAAATTAAGTAACAAAATTTATTGAAAAGAGAAAATTAGTTGATGTCAAAAAATTCTTCATTCTTCTTACCAAGATAAAATGATGTGAAACATGATCTTATCTCTTCGTAAAATTTAACCCAAACTAAACGGTAACCAACTTGTATTTCATAGAAACTTTTAAGACGATTAATTAAACTCAGTACCCTAATGGTTCCCTAGTCTTACCGATGGGAGCAGTTTGGGCTACTCTTCTCTTGGGTTGTTGGGGTTGATGCTTGTTTGCTCTTTGCAACTGGTCAAGGTTGTCTCTGCCATCTCCGGCCACGGCTTTGATGATCTTTCTGTCGCATTTCCTGCCAGAAATTTGGGTCGACAAGTGTGGAAATTTCGCAGATAAATTGTTGGAATTGGAAATTACAGACGAGATTCTTTGTGCTGCAATGGGGTGTGAGAGGAGAAGATTTGAAAGACAGCAAGACATTTTTTTTCCTTGTTGATTTGCCCTCTAGAACCAGAAGATGAAGCTAGTTGTAAACTGTGAGCTACGAAGTATTGGGTTGGATGAATCTCTGGTATATAAAGAAAGGTTGGACATTTCTGGAAAGAAATAAGTAGTTGTAGTTGGAAGTCCTGGACAGTGGAAGACATTGTTGGAATGTGTCTAGACATTTCCAGAAGCGCCACCCCCCGCGTCTCTCTGTCTTTCTTATGCAAGGTTAAGGTTTTTCCTCACTCAGAGAGAAACGTCGTCGTTTTCGTAAATATATATTAGTTCCACGAGCCTGTTTAGATGACAAAGTTGAAATGGATGAATATCTAAAAAAAAAAAAAAATATCATTTTCTATTCGATTCAAACCCACTCAACTTTCATTAGGATAATGTAATTTATTTTCATTAACTATTATACTATTATCCTATCCAATCCACCATGTTTATAAATTAGTATCCAAACAAAAAAAATACAATTTCACATCTATTATTTTAACAACTCATTCAAATATAAAATTAATATTTTTAAATATATTGTAGCCATTAAAAATATACCTCTTCAACCATTCAAGTTAATAACATAAAATATTTAAAAAATTAAACAAGTACCATATATATTATCCAATAAGATAATAACCAAATAACCAAGTATGATAACCTAGCCAAAGTTAAGTTTTCATATTTAGAAAAAAATTGTTATTTCTAATTGCAATATAATTTAGATGGTGTAATCAACTTTCAAATTGTTCACTTGTCTTGGTTAAAGTACATTGAATCATTTTTAGTGCCATTTTTATGACCATGCACTAGACAGATTTTTTCATGCACCACAGGGTTAAGAAACTTATGGGAGGAAAATAATTAAAAAAAAATCTGAAATTTCATGATGTCATATAATATTACACACAGATTCCCTGAAATTTGTACACACGTAAAACTTACACCCCTGTTGTCAATGTCCATTAGTATTTCTATTTGTAAATAACACTCAGATTCCCTGAAGTTTGTATGCGTATAATATTTAAACTCTTCAAATTTAAAATGTTATATTTAGACAAAAAAAATACTTCAATCAAAAATAGAATATCAAATATTTTAAATTTTATAACCGAAATTCATGTTATATTATGACATTTATTGAAATAAAAATTAAAATCTAATTTTTTCTTAAAAAATTATAATTAGTATACAATTATACTATCTATTGAATTTAATTTGAACCAAATTACCCCAATTAAAATTAGAAGATATTGTGTCAATTACAATTTGACCCCTTGTTTTATTTTGTAGTTTTATTCTAATAGATAAAATAATTGTATACTAATTATGATTTTTTACAAAAAAATTAGATTTTAATTTTAAATTTTATTTCAATAAATAATATAATAAACACATGAGTTTTGGTTGTAAAATTCGTGTTCTACTATAAATGACTTAGACCTCCTGTTTGATTTTTTAATTTTATTTTAATAGATAGTATAATTGTATTATAAATTGCGATTTTTTATTTTTGATTTTATTTCAATAAATGATACATTAGAATATAAATTCTAATTGTAAAATTTAATTAGAGCATTTTTTGTTTAGGTATACTATTTTAAACTTAAAAGGTCTAAATATTATATGTCTATAAATTTCATAGGATTTGAATATAATTCACTAACAGATTATTAATAGATATTGACGATATATGTCTAAGTGTTAAGTCTGTATAAATTTTAGAGGATTTATGTATAATATTTTAAAAATTAAAAAGATATGAGTGATTAAAGTGACAAATCTTAGAAGGTTTGAGTTTAATGCTCCCTACTTTTTTTGTGTGCTGTGTGGTTTTTATACTACTGTGATGTAGAAACTGACGTTAGACATTGTGTGTGTGTGTGTGTGTGAGAGAGAGAGAGAGAGAGAGGAAACGAAGCAAAAGTTATTTGACCTAGTAGGGGTAGCACAACAAGGTAATTTAGTAATTTAAATTAGTCATCTTGATTGTTAAAAAAATATTCCAGTTCTCCCATGAGTTTTATTTAACCCATATATGACTTTTCAAATCGGCTTGGGATTAAATTTGGAATTTCTAGTGCTTTTTTTATTAATTAAATGTGGAATATATGAGTCTTATCTATTTTTTTATTCTATCCTATTAGAATTATTTGGTATGTGGGTTTGAGGGGGATTTTGGAACATGGTTTGGAGAATAAACTCCTTCAATTACATATTTGGCAAATACACATCTAACCCAGAGTTTAAAACCTAACCCGATTTAGGTCCGGTCATGAAACCCATGGGAAAGGAGATGAGTTTCATATGTGGATTAATGAGTTTAACATCCAAATGATATTTATACCTCATATATCTTATATACTGCATATTGGTTAAGTGACACTACAATTATTTATATATAAATATATTATCATAATAGTTATATATCCCTGCATATACTAAATATGGATATGAACATCATTAAATGTTGAATATCATCTTTATGTTTGAAAGGGTTTAGACAAGACAATCCAAACCCCTCCAAAAAATATACCAAACAGGTCCCTAGAGTTATCCCTTTAATCCAAATATATTCTAAGGGTGCGTTTGTTTTAAAGGATAAAGGCGGATAGCACATGTTGGATTGGATAAAATTAGTCGGGAGCCCACAAAATCCAACTTTGGATACTCCACATGGGACAGGATAATCGTTGGGCTGAAACAATTGGGCCGTAGTTTTATTAGGCAGTTATCCTATCTGATCCGGATCCACAAATTCTACCTGGACTTTGGGATTTCCAAGTACACCGGCTAGATTAGCTGGAAAATTACCTAATTGCCCATATACAGTAATTATGCTAAGATTTTAACCCATTTGTCTTCGTTTCACCCACCAGCTGGTCCCCTCCACGTTTGTAAACAGTGCCCACTGGTCCCCCTTGAGGTATTCCTCTCTCCTCTTTCCGTCCACTCTTTATCTCAGTTCCGCTTCTGTATTTTAGCCATTATTATTTACAAATTTTAGACATTATTTTGGCGTGAAACAGGCGTGCTTCCAGCAAAATCCCAAAGAAGGGGATTTTTTGTGTGTTTCAACTGGATAGAAGGGCCATTGTTGATGACGTTATTGAGCAATGTCATGCGTCGTTGTTGTTCGATGCTCATATTTTATCCATTTTTTTTTGACCCAGTTCTTCTTTGTTTCTATTATCTCTATTTTTTTTAAACCAAAACAACTCTGTTGTCTTTCGAATGGTAAAATAGTATATTGCCTTTCGAATGTACCGAATCAACAGAAACATACTGGTGAATTCATGAGGCTTTATGTGCTTCATTGTTTTTGTCTATTTGAGATCAAATGCACGAAGATGATGGGTTTGTTTAGCAGTATCATATTGGCTCTCATGAGGCTGCAATAACTGCTTGAACAAAACTTATCAGGCACAATAGAACAAACCTGAAACTTAGTTTAATTTTTTTTTTTTTCAATACTGTTACCTACAAGTAAATAGATTTCTAAAAATGTGAAACAATAAAATTTACTTGTTTACATGTTCATTTGCAAAGTTTGCTATAATTTGTGTTACGGATTGAATATAAAATAAATGATTTATTTGTTGGCCTTTAATTACAAGAAACAAAAACAAAGGCTCAAACGCCTAAAATAAACCAATGCACATACACCTTTCAGGATAAATAACAAAAAAACTCCCTTATCACCCACACAAAAGAGTCAATAGACCATGGACTTCACCTCCTTCTTCCATATCTTAAAAAATACATATACCAATTTTGTTTACTTTTGGCCTATGTGTTATTGTTAGTTTTTCAAGGATCTAATCACAAATATTTGTTTAATTTTTTAGGTATTTCTAATCGTCATATCGAAATCCAATCCATCATTGAGGTATTTTCTTCTATTCCTGGTTGTTTAACCATGAATTGAATTGGCCAATTTGCATAATTTTTTTGTCATATTTGTTTTTGTTTGTTAGAAGTTATTTGCATAATTGTAAAGAATGGTATGGTGTGTCCATGGTCTTGTCAAGGTTTTTTTATAAGGATTAAGGAGTTGTTGGGAAAAATAGATTCACAATTATTTCATGTGTATAGAGAAGCGAATGGAGTTCCTGATGCTGTGGCAAACAGGGCTGTGAAGGATCAGTTCATTTCGTATTTTTCATGTGTTGATTTGTTGCTGAAAATCTCCAAACATGACGTTGTTGTAGGACCAAAAAAAGGTTGCCAGTTGCTAGAGTAAAAAATGTGCTCATTTTTTAAGACAGATTGACTGTATAGGGATTTTGGATAAAATTTTTAATTGTTTGAGAGAAGTTTTATTGTTTTTATATGTTTTGAAGGAGGTTTGTATAGGGTTTTCCCCTTTTGCTTCTTGTAATTTTTTTGGTGATTGAGAATAAAATTTTCATCTTTTTTTTTTAAAAAAAAACACAATTAATTAATGTTATGATTCATGCGAATTTGGGATGTGAAGTATTTTCTCGTATATTTTGATTTTTTTTCTAATTTTTTTAATATCTTTGGTAGATGAAATAAATTTGTGATCGAGTTATAAACTTGTATTATAAAATCAACATGTAGTAGCATGTATGGTGAATACATAAGCATTCTTATATTTTTCACAATATTAAAGTGGTAACCAATAATTCTCAAGCCAAAAAAGAGATAGGAATGTATATGATTCAAGGGTAAAATGGTTAATTTACGTTAAAGTTATTAGATGTTTAATAAAAAATTATAGTTTATTCATATTCCAACCACATCATAAATCATTATCCAAAGTAGGAATTGACTAACACAAATTACTTTTATTCCTCTATAAATCTGGCCTATTGGAATTTCATTGGATTGATTTGGGATTTAAATCCAACTCAGTCCAATCCATCTATTACCCTAAACATTTGCAAGAGCCCATCAGCCTAGGGATAGCCCGAAAGGTCAAAGGTCCATCATTCATGTCATGGGTTGGCTCAATCTGTCATGTTCGCTCACATGTAATCATTTTCAGTTCTCATTTTAATGGTAAAATTTCATACTCTTTTAAAGATTTAATGGTCATATTTTACCCTTTTTTTAAAATTGAATTTGTTCTCACTTTAATTTAGATTTATCTTCCTTTAAATTTGAGTTTCTCCATTAGAGATATATATATTAAATCAAATTTTTTACTCAAATTTGGTTAAAGATTTGAATTTTTATTGGACATACCGTTAACTCCAAAGCCCCGTGAATAGGATTGTGAGTCGTGACCACCTTTGGGCCCGTATAGGCCTTAAGGATTGATCCGGCCCACGAAAGGAGAGTCGTTTGGTAGGTCTGCAACTGCAAAGCAATCCATCAACCATGCTAAAATTCCTAAAATAAAAATAAAATAAAATCTTTGCATTTACATATACTTAGTAAAATACAAAATTTTGGATGTGAACCGTACTAAGGCTCGTTAGGATCAACCCGATAGGCAAATCGTGACATGCGCGTCCTTCGAGTAAGCTTGTCAAACCCAAAGGAAGAGCAGAGTAACAATTGAACCCATGACTATCTAATGCCATGAGGGAGAGTGGAACATATCCTGGACCTTGGAATTGTTCATAATCTCATTTAACCAAACAGCTATGGAATGGCATGACATAAAATACGCATCATCTTCAGCAATGCTTCAGTTTCTTTTTCATTTAAACCGACTTTTTTTTTTCCAGGACAAAGTTAGTTACAGTCGTTTTATAAACAGCACTGAGATTGAAAAGGGCAAATTAGATTTAGGCTGTTTCTTCCATGTAATGGCTGCTAATTTGAAGAGAATGTGTGATACATTACATGACTTGTTTGTAGCTGGGACAGACACAACATCGGCAACACAGGAATGGACAATGGCAGAGGTAGCTAGGCACCCAAGAGTTATGAAGAAAGCACAAGACAGAAGTAAGGAATATGGCTGCCAGTGAAGATTATAGCGTTCGACCATTTGGAGGAGGGATGAAGGGTTAACCGGCGTGTAAACCTATCCAAACTACCACCAAGGACTATGGGTTAAAGGGAGATAACAATAGCAGTGATACTCTTGCAAAAACGTTTATGATGCTTTCCTTGTGCAATGGTCTTAGTAATGCATCATTGTCACAAACTGAAAAAAAAAAAAGTACCACTTGATGAACAAATATCTATGGACAAAACTCAGAAAAATTGTCATGTACAACAACTCAAACTGTATTGCTGATAAGTGGTAACGCAAAGCATGAATAGTTACAATCTCACCAAAGCAACAGCTAATAATGCAATAGGTCAATCGAATTCTTCTTCACCTTTAGCCTCTTACCCTGACAAATGATATATTCATCATGGTGTCAAAGATAATCACACCAAGTTCATTTTATATATGTGCAGGCGTGTGTTGTGTACAAATTTCCCCTATCAATAAGTTCATATGCTTACTTGGATTTCTCTTTGGACTTCTCTTCAGAATTTTCTTTGGACTCCTCAGTTGACGAATTTAGGGCTGTCAGCTTCCCAAAAGATTCCTTAGCATCCCCAAAGAAGTCCTTCACTTTATCTAAAACTGTTTTAAGCTGGTCTTGTGTTGGGAGCTGTAAATTGGTAGTTTTGAAATATGTGAAAAAACAAAAGACAAATTAAAGAAATCAACTAACAATCTGACAGCAGGGACCAGCTACATTTCTGGACAACCACTTATAGACATCAAATGAAGGAAACTATTTATGTTTTGATTTGTCACAGTAAAGTGTCTAGCATTCTAAATCCATTCAAGGCCTCACAATGTATAAGTAAAGCTTTTTGGAAAATGTCACAAGGGAAAGAGATGCAATTTTCTTTTCAAAACCACAGAGAGAGAGAGAGAGAGAGAGAGAGAGAGAGTTGCCACTAGAAATATTGGAAAGGTAATACCGAGTGTTATCTAACTAGTACTGAGAATTGTGATGTATTGGATTGATGTTAAGTGGTAGCAATGTTGCATAATGACATATATAAACATGCAGAGAGACAATAATCCTTGCATGGTCTTGCACAATTCTTATGTATTCCTCCCTCTTACTATCAAGATGAAGTATAAACATATCAACACCCACATCATAGTCAGTAAGAGAGTGTGTGTGTGTGTGTATCTTTCAGTTTACCCAGAGTACTTTTAATGTTTAATTTTTGTTTCCTAAAGGAGAGTAGGTAGGTTGTGAAATAAACAATATGCTACCCACACAACTTTGCTGTCTATCAAGTATCAGCATATGGGTAGAAAACAACAACCACGAAGGGAGCAGGGTTCAGATCATTCTAGCACCAAAGATAAATGACCGTACGTGTGTGTTCAAGTTGGTGGACAAGGATGTGCTGAAAAACAGATGTACACATTCACAGTGATCTTGAAGACTTGTGTACACATTATTCAAAGTAAACTAGGATGCACCAAGTAAATTTGAGGGGAGAACTTCAGATGTTAGAATCTGTCCATTCTCAATATGTTCTCAAGCTTACAAGATTTTGAGACACCGTAAACAAATATTTTAACCTGATAACAATGCATTACACATGCTATTTGCCAACAATTTAGTTTTTCAAAGGATCCGCACGTTGCAGAGGGATCGTACATGCAACTGGAATAGAAAAATGAGTTCATTTTGGAATTGGCAGCATAAATCAAGTGTAATAGCTAATCGTTGGAACAATTGCATGCAGAAACTAGCAGCGTCTACCCAATAAGCATGTGATTCCATAATCATAATCCTTCATTCACACAACCTTTCCTAAATAACACATGGAAACGAATTGAGGATATATGATTTCTTCGAATAATATATATTCACATTGCAATTTCTTTGATCAATCTGTTTGAAAATAGTGTTGCATACTTGCTGTCAACGCTTGGAAGATAAGAACATGAAGACTGTTATTTCTTCATTTACTACACCAAAAATTTCCATTTTTCTGGAAGAATCTAATCTCTATATCTCAAGAAGCAAGAATAGCAGAATCCATAATCAATGCTTACCTCAATAACATCACTGCTAGAAAGTGCTGCTCTCAAATTGTTATTTTCCTGCATATTCAGAACATAAAAATTTTAAGAATAAACTAGCAGTGCCACTCTTTTTTTATGCAAATCTTTGACCTTAGTGACAAGGATAAAAAGATCACAGAAGATAACATATCATAGAAGGTGGATAGAGAGCAGAAATATTACAACAAGTTTGTAGCCATATCTAAACTCAGTAGCCGACCGCAAAGAACGGTGCTGTTTCAATGCCAACTTTTGTATCTCCTTCTCATCCTGTTTCAAAAATACAAAAACACCAGTCAGATACAAAATTTTCTGAGCAACATTAGAGGGAAATGTAGACAGTGTTACTAAAGAAATTTACATCCATATAACAAGTTATGGGATTCAAGCAATGGCTCAAGACGATTAACACCCATAATGTTGTCTCCAAAGAGAATTCATTATTCAAATAATGTTTAAAATTTGCAGGAAAGTCTCACCAACAGCATCACACAGTCCTCCCCCCATCCCCCCACAGCAAAAAAACTGGATTCACCAGAGGAAAAATAGTAATTGCAACAGTAACTTTATAGAGTAGAAATTGCAGTGTCCATGCTTCATTGTAGGTTCATTTAAAGTAAATATGTATAAACATACATTACAGGCTATAACATAACCTGGAAAGATTTCTATGAAAAACATGATTAAGTGCCACAGTGAATATTTAAACACGGCATGCTAAAAGTGTTTAATTTAATTTAAAAAACACTACCTTTTTTTCACAACATGAAAAGGAATAAGAATAAATAGAAGCAGGGGCAGCTAAACCCCCCCCCCCCCCCCCAAAACACACACTTTTGCCAACATCAGCAGGTAAAATATTAAGCAAAAAAATTTGGACATTGTCAAGAGAATTGACCTCATCTAGAAAATAGTTTCTATGAAGAGAATGTACTGATCTTCAACTTTAATAACAAAATGTTGAGTAATACTATTGAGATCTTAAAATTTGACATAATTTGTTAATTTAATGATGTAATTTTATTATAACTGTTGAATTAATACTAAATTTTAATGTTTAATGGGGTCTAGGGTCAATCTAAATGCTATAGTGAATTAGGTCTTTTTATCATATCATGTCGAACGTTTTCAAGAGAAGATTTTTCAATTTGTTAGGCAATGGTTTCGTTATAGACTCTTTAACTAGGTAGGTAGAAAAAATTGTTAAAAAGTGTATTAGGGATTAAGTATACGACTAAGTTAATACATACTCAAAATTATTTTTTATTCATTTTTAATTTTTTTTCATATCTTTATTTTATTTCTTCATCATATATATTACTTTGTTGGATATGTTTTTGTGGCTCGAGAATCTGAATTGATAAACTATATATTTAGTTTATATTATCAGTTACATTAGATTTAGTCCCCCCCAAAAAAACAATTCTACCTTTGTCCCTGATTGATTGCATGCATATGTTTGGATGAGCTCATACGCATAGAAATAAATTCTTCAAAATGTGTTCCCAAGGAACAAAATATCGTTTCAAAACGGGCGAAACATCCGAAACGTTTCTGGTTCTAAGAAGACCAAAATGAATCAGTTATAGAATCGAAATTCTAATAATTTTAGGTGTTCCATAATGTTTGGAAAAGTTTTGGTATATTTCAATACATTTGCACAATTATTTCAAAATGTTTCAAAGTATTTCAAGATATTTGAGTATATTTCGACCAATGTTTTTAAAAAATAATTTTTTATTTTTTTTATTCTATTTTCAAAACGGGTGAAAACGTTTCCGAAACACATCGAACTGTTTTCATTTCTTAAGTGACCGAAACAATACACCAAAGCAAAATTTTGATCATTAGTTCCCAATCATCATTAATTAAAGAAATTTGTGGTTCCTTCAATATGGCATTGAAACACATAAATGGCATATTGATATTATTTTCAATTCAAACATTTTCTATATATACAAGAGGAGAATAGTCCACTCTTGGGTGAACAATGAATACTACTAGAAACTTGACATATACTTTAATTTGAGTCGGTACAAGATCGTTCATTTTGCCATCTTCCATTTTGAAATAAACAAAGCAAATTTTTAGTTTATACTATTACAAACAAAAATAAAAGACTAAATTAGATTTCTAATAATTCAAAACTCATGAGTATTCTCAAACAAGGAGTAGAAATCAATCAAGAAACCAAGTAATCACAAAGCTTACTTTGTATATAACTGCCGCAAGATTCCTAGATAACGTATCCTTGTAAATATATTTCCCCAGAAAATTGTCCTTTGCTGCAACCATGATTTTTGCAGTGGTGCCGCCCGTTACAAGATTAAGTGGATACCAAAGATAAACCTGCCCAACCATGAAAAAGAAAATATTACCAAAACCTTTGCACTGAATAAATTCAGTAACTCCAACTGACAGAAAATGAAGCACAGATCAAAAACTGCAAAGAATTATTGCACGCCCAATTCAACTCGAAGTCGTGTTCCAACATTTCTGGGGTGGGCAACTTGACTCAACAATTATTGTACACCCAGTGTTTAGAAATTGAAACTAACTGTCACTACTATATCCTATGCCTACCACAAATAATAGATATAAACGATGCATTACAGAGCATTGACGACAGAAAGAGAATAAAAAAGAAGAACACATAGGGCAGTAGACGCATCTAAATGTCAAATATCCAAACATTTTGAGAATGAAGTTCTTACTAGCATCTTTCCCCTCTAACAAAACAAAACATAAAGAAACCAATCATAGAGATATTGTAAAATTTGTTGAAAAACTACAAAATTAGCAATATTTACTCATACCCATCAGCTAAAATCATCGAAAGAAGCAATTTTTCCGAGAGAGAGAGAGAGTGAGAGAGCTGACATTGGCCATGCGGATAAAGATGACGAACTTAGGGTTGCCATCGTCTTCAAGCTTGGGGAGAGAAGGAGTTGGGCGTTGGAACTGACGTGCCGCCATTCCTTTCTTACCCTTGGCTTCCACCACCAACATCTGCTGGTGTGGCCTCTGGTGTCGAGGCTTCTGGGTCATCCTCGTCGAGATTAAGGAATGTCTGATGAGTCCATCTTCGTGGGTTCTTAACTCTGATGTCCGTAGCTGAACCAGTGGATTCAAAGACATAGCCACCTCCATTATTCAAGCTCACCAACCACAGCAACTATGGCTTACTGGGTTTCTCTGTCTATCCAAGAATGTCTGGGCTTTTGTCTGAATCGAAAGGTTGGAGAAGAAACAGATCACCAAAATTTTCAACTGAGCCTTATCCACATCCTCAAATTTTTTTGATTAAACTACTTATATAACCCTCAAACTATCATTTTTATATTAATTAAGACTCTAAACTTTTTTGTATCAATTAAATTCCTAAACTCTATAATTATATCAATTGAGTTATTTTGTTTACCTCGGTTAAAGTATGTCAATCACATGATCATATGACACAAAAAGATAGAAGAAGTTAATTATACAATTAGAAAGTTTAATAGTTACTCAATTGACATAAAAGTTATAGTTTAAAAGTTATATATATAATTTATTGAATTTTGGGGTCTAGTGGAAGGAAAAGCCATGAGACCACTATGGCGCTTCCACACATATTGAGGCATAATACAACAAATTTAAATAGAACCTTTTAATTTTTTTAATATTAATGAAATTTTTCATTAGTTCAAAAAAAAAATCAAATAATTGTATTTTTAAATTTTGTTATCATATCTTATCAATTATTAATATATTGTTTTCTTTGAAACTCGTAACAAATTTATCAAAAAAAATTTGATGTACAATTAGTTTTTTAATTTATCTTATTTTTAAGTTTTAAAACTGGATGGTTGTCCATAATATATAATCAAGGGAAGATTTCAGTCATATTTTTTCTAGTTTATCATATCTTCAAAGATATTCCGTTATTATTTAAAACATCACTGACACGCCTTCTAGTTTATATTTAAACATCACTGACACTCTATTGTAAAACTATCGTTTCTAAGAAAAAAGAATTCATCTAAAATACTAAAATTTTCTATACATAAACTCCAAACAATCTTTATATATAAAATTCGATTAAAATTTGAACCGATTAAAATTTATTTTTTTATATTTTATTTTTTGTACATAATAATAATGGAGTCTATTAATTTTTTTTTTCACGTATTAAAATTCGAGTCGATTTAAGATCAATTTGAACTGCTAGCACTAATTTAAACTAATATTAGAGTTGATTAAAATTTATATTTTTTAATTATTAAAATTAGTGTCAATTAAAATTTATTTCAAGTTGATTAAAATTTATTTTTTATGTATTAAAATTTGAGTCAATTAAAATTTATATTTTTTTATGCATCAAAATTCAAACCGATTAAAATTCAAAGCAAATTGATTAAAATTTGATTCAAGTCGATTAAAATTCGAATTTTAATACATAAAAAATGAATTTTAATTAGTTCGAATCAAATTTTAATTGGTCCGAATTTTAATACGTAAAAAAATTCAAAAAAAAAAATGGAGTCTCATTGAAGATATGTCTATACAGAGGGATTGTGAATAAAGTTTTTTCTAAAGTATATTATTGGCAATTTAATAAAATTGTATTCTAGTTAATATCATTAATCTGACAAGGGGTATCAGTGAAAATTCAAAAAATAAAAAAGATATCTTTGAAGATATGATAAATTAGAAACAGTGCGTCTAAAATTTAAAACTAAAATTATTTGGAGTTAAAATTTTTATGACATTTCCAAGAGAGTAACTAAAGTACAAAAAAACTTCAAAATTTAGTTATTTTATCTTAAAATTTTACTCTAATAGAACATCTAAAATAACATTTTGCTGCGAAGTAGTTAAAAATATAAAATATTGTAGACAACATATATATCGATTGCACAGGTGGGTGTGTGCAATACGTGGAAGCTCGGGTCAAGTACAGCCAACTTTCGGATTTTATTTGCAGTGCAAATCCAAGTGAACTCAACAAGTTCCTTCCAAATGAAGTGGATGATGTTAGGGTTCTTGGCCCGGTCATTCAAGTTACCTTCTTTGACTGTGGTGCCATGGCGGTTGCTATAGGCATGTCTCACAAGGTTGCCGATGCCATGTCATGTTTCATGTTCATTAAAAGTTGGGCCGTTATTGCTCGTAAAAATATCGATATGTCATGCCTATTATTTGAATGTGCGACGCTCTTCCCATCTATGGATTTAACTGACGTTTTAAATTAAACACTGGAGTGATAAAAGGAAAATATTGTGACAAATAAGCTCGTGTTTATTGCCTTTAAACGTTGATCTCACTAAAACTTATAATGCCCTGGTTTGATCCACCATTGTCTGATTGTCATTTTGGAAACATTAGAGGGTTCATCAGAACGGTGCCATCCCTGGATAGCGAAGAAGAGTGTTACGGCATCGCCAACAAAATGAGGGACAGGTGGTTATCTTTACTAGTTGATGCAGGTTTCCTGTATATGAAGCTGATTTTGGATGGAGGGAAACCTATATGGGTCGGGTCGGCTTAAGGGCTAGCCTTAAATCCAAAAACCTAGTTGTGTTGTGTTCTTGGACACAAGATGTGGTGATGGAATAGAGGCATGGATTCACTTGAAGGTAGAAGAGGCATGGCCAAATTCTAAGTTGACAAGGAGGTAATTTCATTTGTTTCCCCACGCCCATCATGATGTTACATGACTTCAACAGTTGACTGCGGGAGATTTAAAATTTTCGTGGTATACCAAAAATTTTCATATTTGTGCTAACTTTTATCATATTCGTGGTAATCAAAAAAATAGTAAAAATAAATATCATAATAATGATAAAAAAATTCACAAATATGATAAAAACACTCATAAATATGACAAATTACACACAAAAGCGATAAATTTTTTTGTATTTAAGAAAAGTTGTGAAAATAGTTATTACAAATGTGATAAAAATACCCACAATAATAATAAAAACACTCACAAAAGTAGTAAATCAACTACAAAAATAATAATTTTTTTAATTATAAAATGATTCAAAGAAATTATAAAAATACTATTTGAAGTAATAAATTTTGAAGGTATAGTACCGAATTTTTTTTGTCAATAGAATAGTCAACTCCTTTAGTTTAAGTGTCTTGTATTTTAAAAGTTTCTTTGTTGGAGTTGTACCAAAATGGGGTTGGATGTGATTCGTGGGAAAATAAGTTTGTTATCGAATGCTTATGGGTAATAAACCGTCGGTTAAATGTATTACAGTGTTTATTGTTTTAGTCAACTAATGTTTAAGTACTAAAGTTTTCATTAAATAGGTTAATGTGCGGGCTCGATCCTGCACGATATATAAAATATTGGGAACAGATCTCTCCCCTGGTGAACTTTGGGTGAGCCGGTTGAGTAGCCAAACACGCTGCTTGAAACAGCCTACAAGGTACGGTGGCAACCGGAAACGGCAAAGGGAGATCCTGGGAAAGGAGGAACGATCCTGTACGTGTGAAAGGTATTTCCTGGAACAAAGGAGAACAAGTTAGAAGGGCGCCGGAGTGTTTTCCGGCGTATCCCCTCCGACGGTCTAGTCAGTCTTTGAATGAGAGAGAGAGGAAGGAGAAAACACTGAGAAGGATATTTCGTAGTTGAGAGTTTGAGATTGCATACCCGCTTTGTCTTTTGGGAGGGGTATTTATACCTTAGAAGATCATGATTGCTGTCAGTGTGGTCAGTAGGTGATCATCAGGCACAGGTAGCGTGTGTAATCATTTGATGAGGAATGTCTTCTCTAATTGACTGCTCGGGGTCCCGAGCAATCAATGGTGAGTTGTCGGGACGCCGACGGTACAATATGCTCCTTTCGGGAAGGATGCAATAAATGCTCTGTAATAGGAGCATTTATTGCCTTTCATATCCGAACCTTACCGCATTAAATGCGGTCTCGTCAACAGAAGGGTGCAATTAATTGTTTGCTTTCCCAAGTCGCGTGCCAGCAGCGGCATGCGGTTTGTCTGCTTCGGATGTGACATTATTTGCCACGCGTCCATCCCTTATTGGCTGTTACGTCGGTATTCCAGCACGTTCTGACATTACTTGTGTAAGAAGAGGTCATGATGAATAGTCCATACTGGCATAGGCTGATGTCCAGTTTGTCAGTAGCTTTATCCGGGAGTAGAGGAAGCGTCCAGGATGGAGTGACCCTCGGCACCGAGAAAAGGCTTACCTCGGGGACCGAGGGTGGTATGTTTCCGAGGTACACGTGACCGAGGACACGTGTTTGTTGTATAATACACCGAATGTGTGATCCTATATGAGAGGGCACCTCGGGGTAGAGGACGTTCTTCGCCGATGGTGCTTACATCCGGACACCACTGTTCAAAAAACCCCGAGGACACGTGTCTTCATCTCAGGGCTTTTCAGAAGAGTCCCATCAGTTAATAAGAAGGAAATTTTATGAAAGAATACAACAAATTAATGAAATAGTCAAGTGTGAATGTGGGAACCTCTTGTTCTTTCAAGCAAATGTTATCAAGTCTACATCTAAAAAGCCAAGGGAAAAAAAGCATTAAAAATGCTTATGAAGACCAACCTTCTTACTACTTGTACTTATTTCCTCGGATTGTGAGGGAATTTATTTTGTATTACGCTGCTTTCTATTGTATCAAGTTAGTGGCAAGTTTTGTTTTCTTAACCAAAGTCGGACTGGTGATTTAGTGATAAATCGTACCCGTTAACAGAGACAAATCTATGAGGTGGTCTAGGGGGACCATGGCCCCTTCAAATTTTAAAAAATTTCATTCTCTCTTCTATATTTTTAGAAAATTTTATTGTTAATCTCTAGTTTTTCAAAACACTCAATATATAAGTATCTCACTTAATATATTTGAAAAGATCAATGACTTAATACTTGGTAACCATTTAAGATGTAATCACTTGGACAAATGTCGCTTGTACTGATAAAGACGCTTGTTGGATTATTTTGATGGCATATTGAAAAAATAAGTGACTTTTTAAAAAAAAAAAAAAAATAGGGATACTCATACAAATATGGTTTATATTAAAAGCAGTTCGTTGACTTATAATTTATTTTTATTATAGTATCATATGAAATTATTATTTACGACTTTGATTTATTTACAGACATAAGAACAAGGAAAAAAAAAAAGAACGATAA